TCTTAACAGAGAGTGCTTCTCCATAGAGGAGCTTGGGTGCTGCTCGGATGAGGAGTACGAATGGAGTGTCCTTGTGTTCTTGTCGGCTTGATAAAAGCAATAAATCTGTAAGGAAACAGGCTTCTGACTGCTGCTTCTTGCTGTTAAAAAAAGACTGTATAGGTGCTAACAAGCAACAGCTTTTGACTGCCCGACCCTTTGGGCCTCTCAAAGTAGAATGTAGAGTACGAACTTATCATGCTTCACAATTCCACTAGCATAAAAACTAACGCTTGCATCTTTTGTATTACTGCAGATGTTGGCACAAAGTTAGCCTTGAGAGATTCTATAGTTCCTGAGCTACCCCAATTTGATGTTAATAGCCCCTTATTTTAAAAATATACGGATAATTGGTAGAAATGATTATAGAGTTATTAGTCTAAAGGTGGATGATCCAATCCATTCATAAAAACAATCGCAGTCCAATCATGGGCAAATTGCATAAAAAAGTAACGTACTTTAATTTGATTCCTATTTGGGGTAACGTAGTTTCAGAACTTTCATTTTGGTACCTAAGATGTAAAGTTTTAAACATTTAAGTACTCGGGTAATCGGTTAACCGATTACCATCCTGATGTGGTGCACGATGTGGTATCCAACTCAGTAGTCTAACCAATTAATGTTTCAACACACCAGTTACTCAGATGCTTAATTGTTTAAAACTTTACATCTTAGGTACCAACAAGTAAATAAATTGTATCCATTAAATTTCAACCGATAAATACACCTACTTATATGATACCGAAGTTCTCTCAACAAAAACCGTCTCGTATACAAATAAAACAATAAATGTTACCACCTAAAAAACACGATACTTTCCCAAATAATGCAATCGTACACGATCATTTTGTAGTGTAGTCTAACTAACGAAAATAATTAGCATCAAAATTGGGTCGATCAAACGACCTGCTGCTGCTGCTGCTAATATCGTACAACTTGGGTATTGTCGTCACGATTCCTGCCATACGGATTGCTCTCGCTAAATCCATTTCGGCTTCTTCCTTCAGGTTTTCGTGTTTTTTGCCTGAACTTTGAGGCATTACTGTCGATATTCAGGTTTAGCTTTGGAGGGTTCGAGAAACAGAATGATGCTGCTACCGCCTGTAGTCATCATTAACACCAAAACATGTTTAATCAAGCACCGTAGATAAATACACATACATGTAAGTGATCCCATCCATATACATACGGGCGTGTTTAGTTGCGAATGTAACTTCTGTTGTGAATCAAGGAACAAACGAGAGCATGCTACGTGTTCCAGACATTCTCGTTTTGTCCCTTGGTTCACAACAAAAGTTAGGTTCGCAACTGATCTTTCCTATATACATTTATAGGGTCTAGCTCATGAGAAAACGACAAAAAGATGAAAAACTGAAGAACGCCCTAATAACCATTTATCTGTACGGTATGCATGTGTACATACAAGTAATTTGTTAGTAATTTATCTGGTATGCACTTATGCATAACATGCATGTGCCTTAAAACCAAGAAACATCTTCGGTTACTTGTTTGCAGGTGAATGGTTACAAAGGTATTCCAATTTTTATTTTTTGGGTGGTTTTCCTTGAACCTCACTCTTTTATTTACAATACAATATAGAGATAAAAGCATAAGGTACCTGCATATCGAGCCTGTGAACATTAAAGATGTCCTTCATGGAGTGCGAGTTATAAGCCAATAAGTAGGATCTATACGCATCTTTCGCCGATTTGTTCAAGTAATAGTTGTTTGCAACCAACTTTTCCTGCATCAACACCACAAACGTATCAAGCAAAACAATAGTTGTAACAAGAAATGCACAAGACCCGGGTTTTTCAAACCTAGGTCCGGGTCTTCCAAGCCTGTTTTCAGTGAATAAGAAAGATCCGGGCTATTTTAGGCCCAGGCAGAGAGACAGGCTTTGAGGTTGAAAAAAAACCTGGTCAGGTTTTTTCAGACCTGGCTTTTGGGGTTAACTGAGATTTTTCCAGGCCAGGCCTCCTCCAAACACACACACACACACACATATTGGTCTGGACCGGGCTTCGGGCTCACTGGGCCTGGACTTCTTCAGGCCAGGGCTAGGCTTTTTTAGGCATCTCTACTTGTAACTAAAAATCCGTTATTCAGTAAGCAAAAAGAAATCCTAGTGGGTCTGGTTGGGCCGGGTTTTAGAGTTGAAAAAGGGGCCCAACCACACTTTTCCACGATAGGCTTTTCCGGTCAGGCTTTAACCTTGGAAAAAGAATGTTGGTCTGATCGGGCTTACTAGGGTCGGACTTCAGACTTCGGCTTTCTTGTGCATCTCTAGTTGTAACTAAGAAAATAGTTTCACAAATACGGGAAAGTTAATAATTACCAGGTGAGACTGCACGTTTGCCATCTTCTTTTCATCAAACTCGTACTCTTTAACAGGTACTTTCGCAGCCTAAGATATTAAAATAATGATGGTTATATTTTAAAATAAAGATGGTTATGCTTAAAAATAAAGATGGTTATATTTAGAAAACTACTCCTCAACACACCTTGAGGTAGCGAAGAAACTGCAACTCTTCTGGGATAAGAAAAAGCAAAGCATTCCCTTTTGCACCTTCTCCACGAGCAGTTCGACCCACGCGATGAATATATTCCTAAGTTGAATGCCAAGTGATGAGATGAATAGATAAACCAACAATATAACATGAACAAGGAATACAATCTTAGATGTGAAAGGGATAACGTTGAACACCTTAGGTTCATCTGGAGGATCATACTGCACAATCCAGTCCTATAGGCATATAAAAAAACAAAATTATTAATGTTACGCAGACTGAACAATATTTAATTAAAATAAACTTCATCTACTTAATTTGAGAAAAAAACCAAGACGGAGACCATAAAATGATCAACAAAATGTACAAATAGATAAATTCATACCCTACAAGAAGATCATGTTTATACCGGACTCAAGTTTATAGAACCAAACACTTGTGCTTCCTATGCAAAAGTGTTGCGATAAGTTTATAGAACGCTTTTGAAGCTTTTTAGGACAACTTAAAAATAAAAGGTAACATTATTTTTATATAACATCATTTGAAGTGTCCAATAAAAAGATGTGTTCATAATACATATCTCAAAAGTGTCCTATAAGATTATTGCAACACTTCTATATAGGACTCACAATTGTTTGGTCCTGTAAACTTGAGTTGTATAAAGCAGTCTATTAAGACATTTAGGCATATTTGACGTCCTTTTGTTGAAATATTGGCCTAACAGAACAAAGAATGATCTACATACCACGGCAGGGATATCAAGACCACGAGCAGCAACATCGGTACATAACAAGATTCCTTTCTCTGCTTTGCAGAAGTCGAAAAATGTTGAAGTTCGCTTTTGCTGCTTCTGCTTCCCATGAATATCAAAACAATCCACTTGAATATACTTGAGAAGCTCGGAGTGGAATTTAACCGAATTGCATGAAGAAAAGAAAACCATCACTTTCTTTGACAGATTCCTTTTCAAGAAAGAGTAGAGAAGTAAGAATCTCTTTGTACTTGGCACCACGCAATAACCTTGTTGCAGTCCTTCATTAGTGACCTACAACATCCAAAACATCGTATTCTAATTATAGTTTATAAAATTAAAATAAACGGAAAGAAAACAAAAAAAATTTAGTGTAGCAAAGGGAATAGTTTGTTTACCCTTGTTCTCCCATCATCTACATCAATATACACCGGAGTATTTTGAAATGATAAGCGGGCAAGATCCTCGACCTGAAGAGAGAAGTAGGTAAACAAATTATACTACAATGAAAAATGGTTTCTTTGATGTACTGCAGGGTAAAAACATGCAACCTTTCATAATAGGTTTTGTTTAGGCTTTTGTTAGAGTTTGAGAGTTGCATAACTTACAGGGGTAAAAATTGGAATAAATTACAGAATGAAGTATAAAATAACAACACAACTGCAATCTTGAACACGGGTGTAAACCTTAAATGATTAAAACTTTAAAATGAATGGAGTAAATAAGAGATTGGTCTCCAAATTTTGAAGAAGAGAAGTTGAACCAAAACCATGACAGAAAGATGTAATTATTAGACTTGACAATCAGTACCTTCTTTGTCTGAGTTGCGGAAAAGAGAGCAGTTTGCCTTGTCTGCACGTTATAAAGAATTCAGTTAGTTCAAGATGAATCGAGGATCCAAGTATCATAAATGTAATACTTTTGAGTTTGTCCCAAATAAGTGCCTACTTCCCAATTCTACCCTTAATTATGGGATGAACAAATTCATTACTCCCTCTATTGTTAGGGATAAAACTGTCATTTGGTTATTTAACAAATGTAGTAATTACACGTCTACAACTATATGCCTTTTTCATTGTGAATATTTATTTCGGGATGGAGAGGGTATACAAGAACCCATGCACGCTCTAATCTGATAAATAAGTAACATAACTGTAAGTTTCTTCTATGATAAAATTATGATACAAACCTTTGGTAATATTCTAATTATCTGCTTCATTTCTTCTTCAAAGTTTGCTTCCAATATTCTATCAGCTTCATCAATCACAAAGCACTGAAAATACAAAATTCGAAATTAAGTAAAAAAACAATTGAATTGGTCATTTCATTTCAAAGATCAAATATCCGCAAAACCTAACAAAAACAGAAGTTGCATAAAGGATAGCTTTATAAAAACTGAGTTCGGATGCTATTATATATACACCATTTAAAATTTTAGCTACAAGTGTTTCTCGACAAAAGTGCAAGTTATTCATTGGCATCCACCTCATTTCAATGAAAAATCAGAACGTGGTGGTGACTTCAATTGGTCCATCAAATCTTAATATTGCATAATTAATTATACATTAAGATGTTCCACAAGACATAAACATGAAATAAATAACTGTACCTTGAGATTTTTATAAATAAACCCTTTTGTGTTCTGAAGATGGTCAAGAAGTCGTCCAGGGGTAGCTACCAATAAATTTACTCCCTTCACAATACGCTCGGCTTCTCCTCTTCGTGCTGCACCACCGATAACCAACCCAAGAGTCTGTGAATGATACTTGAGAAGGTCCTTCGCGACTGCATGAGTCTGTACATTAACAGCATAAAAGTTAATTAATTCAACATTTTTACACTCGCTCTGTCCCAAAATAGCTGTCCACATTTCTATTTTAGTTTGTTCCCAAATAAGTGTCCATTTAAAAAAATAAATACTTACTTTCCAATACTACCCTTAATTATGAGATGAATACATTCATTACTCCCTCTATTATTGACGGTAAAATTGCCATTTAGTCAATTAAAAAGTGTAATAGTTGCATATTCTAAAACTGTGTGCCTCTTCATTGCAGACATTTACGTTGGGACGGGGAGAGTATACAGTCTTTTACACCCTGAATGCATGTTTCGCATTTACAAGAAAGGATGTTTGCCCTTGAGAAACCATGAAGCTAAACTTAGATAAAGTAGCCACGCTTTGCAGCTTATTCCCAAAGCTTGTTCATAATTCTTGAAGCATTACTTATACTTACTTTACTTATGATCAACTATATATCTATGATCCAAACATGTAAGACACAGAGAACGTGAGGTTTAATCAATAAATAGTAGAGGTGAACATATACCTGTATTGCAAGCTCCCTTGTTGGACAAATGACAACAACACCGGTCCCATTTCGAGGAGCAAAGTGAGCATGAAATAACAACTCGATTGCTGGTACAAGAAAGGCTAGAGTTTTCCCAGAACCAGTTCTTGCAGCACCAAGAACATCTTTTCCTTCCAAGAGAGGAGGAATTGCTCTTGCTTGGATCTGCAATTGAAATATAAAAGTTAAAGAAGACATCACACGTAAAACCTATAGAATTGGTAGTATATTCATAAGTTACATATCTAAAAACAAAGTTGTGGTATGCAGTTAACTGTAAAATCATTACTTTGAGGATTCAACTTTCAACAACGTGATTGAATCAACTGAAAGCTGCTCAAATTTACCTGAGTCATATACTGAAAGCCCATATCTAGAATAGCTTTCATGGTTAGTTCAGACAACGGCAAAGATGTAAAAGAATCACTACTCATAATCCCAGAGTCACCACCACGCTTCCCCTTCTTCTTCGTCTTTATCTCCTTGTCCTCCTCTTCCTCCATGTTCAAACCCTCGTCACCTTCTTCCTCGTCTTTGTTTTCATCATTCTCTGGTTCATCTTCTTCACTAATCTTCTTCTCTTTCTTCTTCCTCTTCCTCTTCTTCTCTTTCACTGTTGTTCCCTTGTCCTCCTTTACCTCCTCCCCCTCCTTCTCACTGCCATTAACTTCTGCTACTTCCTGTGTTGCCAAATCAGACTCTTYCTCTCCACTTTTGTTCTTGTTCTTGTTCCTCTTTCGTTTCTTTTTGCTATTAGAACTCTCGTCATTTTCAATTTTGGAATTAGGGTTTTTCTCTAGAATTGCCATACTGGCAACCACCACTGTCTTTGTTTAAGCTCTGCAATTATCTGTTCAATTCAATCAGTAATAGAAGATTATAAGAGATCAAATTTGAACCAAACAACCTGAATTCAATTAAGATATATATATATATATATATATATATGTATATATATGAAATCCCTCTTCTGCTTGAAAGTTTAGACAACAAGTTACAGAGCACAATGTATAGTATCAAGAACACACAGCAACTATCCTGAATCCTCACATGAAGAAGCTGTCTACTTATGAGGAGGGGAGGGGAGTGTGTAGCCGGCTATGGGTCCCACTGTCTGATTGGGGTTTGGTCATATGAGCAATCCACCCACTAACCAAACCATTTATAGATTACTCCTAAATCACCCAAATATAAAAGAATTCATTCGGTCTGAATTTCCTTTAAACTGATGTTTCTTCATGTTTATGAGCTATATTGAGCTACATAACCATGATTTATCCACAATCCTTCTGAAACAAAGAACCATTTACAGCATGTAGCACACATAAATATGTCCTAATACACAAACAGTAAGACCCAAACAGCTTGTCCTTAAAATAGTAAAACGTAAGTTTTAAACAGCAATTCCGGAAAAATTTAACTTGACTTAGCATCAAGAAAGGGTAAACAAATTTCTCCTTAAAGCTCAACATTCCAAAAATATTTGCTTTTGTTAGATTAAAGCAAGGGCAGACCAATGAAGACCCCAGCAGGTCCGTGAACCCACTCAACCGATTTCACAAGTAAAAAAATCTGTATGAAACATACACGCCCTAAACTTTGAGGGGGTGCCTCGGGATATTAGAAAATACAAGGGATTTCAACAAAAAAACGAATGTCTCCCGAAACGGTGGAATTCGGCTAAAAACACATTCTGATCCTCCTTAAATGTGCAGCCACTTGACAAAAACCATGGATAAGCCGATGGATGAAAGCCTTACATAATATACTATTTAACTATGTGGAGATATATTAAAAAAGTTCAGTAAATCTGCAAAAACTACCTTTTTGAATGTTGTTGAAAATCCAAAAAAAAAACACTATGGCAGTAATCAGGCCTAAGCTAACTAGTAAAACTAAACAATAACTTCACAAAACCGATAACCGAAATTACTAAATTACAATACTAGCAATCTTATGCTAACTAAACAACTAAATAATTACATCCACTTTTTGCTACAATTTCAATCGATAATTGCATAGATGCAGAGAGTGATAACTAGCAAATTCTCGCAACTTAATGAACCAACTACGAACTACGAAGGAATAAACAGCGTTGTATAATAACTAAGAATCAACACCTGAACTGAGGCTAGTGGCGTGGGGCAGTGGACTGTGACGGAGTAGAGCGTGACCACGAGAGGCCGAAAGCAACAGCCAGCCGGCGAGAGTTGAGAGCTTGAAAGCCAATTGAGAGTTGGAGAGTTGAGAACTGCAGGACGAGAGGGATTTAGGAGAGTTTGAAATTAGGGCAATGGAATTGTCTGGAAGGCCGTTGTGAAGTTTGTAGCGAATCAATGGATTTTGGGCCATGGGCCTGCTAGGGAGGTGAATTGAATTTGAGCCCAAGACCACTCAAGAGTATTGAGGCCCAAAATGGGTCCAAACCGAGCCCGTTCAAATCGGTCTCGGTCCGAAAATTTTCTTTTGTAGCCAATCCGCAAAAACACTTGGCTCGTTATCATTGTATAAAGTACGGTCTCGTATATACAACCCCTTCTTGGGACCGGTATTATGGCCTGGGCTTTATACAAGAATAACAGGTCGTGTGTTTTTGTCATAACCGGGACCGGTTACAAAAGGAAAATCTCAAATCAGGGACCGATTTGGACGTGGACCAATCCTGAATCGATGGTAGGTAATGGGTTCCTCAATCCAGTCGTACTAGAATCGACCCGGATCAAGAAATTGACTTGTAATCGAGTCGGTCGATTCGGGTCCCGACCAAAATACCACGATAGACCTTAGGCCTGATAAGCGGTCCCATATCCGATCTGAAGCTCGGACCGGAATTTTTGTAAAATAATCATTTTTAAAATATTTGATTTATACAAAACGCTATTCAAGTTTTTATAATTATGACTTTCATATTCAGCATTTAAGTACACCTTAAATATTACATTTACCTATAAAACTCTTGGGTTGTGTTTGGTACATGAGACGGAACTAGACAGAACGGGAAAAAAAACTCATTGTCCCGTATTTGTCGCAGCATGTGACATAACAATAACTCGCTATATTTGGTGCGACATAGGACAGGGACAATAACTGGGACAAGGTGAGATAACATGAGACAATAAATGTTTTTTTTTTGTTCCACCAAAATAAGTGGAACAAAATGGGACAAGAATGATACATAAACTATTAAATCCTTATGAAAATCAGTACCTATGCATTACCGGTTCCGGGTTAAGTCAGGCACCAATTTTTCAAATTAAAAAACTGGTAACCCGTCCCGTCGAGATGGACCATATTCGACCATCTCTACTCATGAGTCGTATCTGAATCACATATGTACACATCATAATTACTATAATATGTATATAGATATATCTTATCTACATTATATATATATATATAGATCACACTTTCAGAAAGAAGGGTATGGTTGTAAACTGAGAACATGCATCACTCATCACATGATGAATAAATTGAATAAATGAACGAACCAATAAAAATAAACGAACGTAAATGAATGTTCAAGAGCAACAATAACAATAATAATGGGGAAAAAATAGGGTAAATTGTTTGAAAAAATGACGTACTTTTTACTTGATTCATGTTTTGGGTAGCGTTTTTTCAAAACTTTCATTTTGGTACTTAAGATTTAAAGTTTTAAACATTCAAGTACCCGGGAAACCGGTTGAAGAATTAACCGGTTACTATGCTGATGTGGTGAGTGACATGATGAAATTGGGTTGAATAGCAAATAGTACTGAGTTGGATACCACATCACTCGCCACATCAGTATGATAACCGGTTAATGCTTCAACTAGTAACCCGGATACTTAAATGTTTAAAACTTTATGTCTTGGATACCAAAATAAAAGTTTTAAAAATACGTTACCCAAAATAGAAATCAAGTTAAAATACGTTATTTTTTCATGCAACTTAGTCAAAAAGTCTAAATAAAATTAAAAAACATACCAATAATAGCAAATTAAGAAGGATATTTGAAATTTTGGATAATTATATTAAAATAAAAGTAACGGCAAATTACATTTTTAGTCCTTGTTGTTTAGTGTATATTATCGAATCCATCCCTATTTCTAAAAGTTAGCAAATTAGGTCCTTATGGTTGCATTTTTCTAACGACCTCTAGGTCTCTAGAGCGAAAGGGGACCCAACTCGTTAACCTTTTTTAAGAACATAACTTGTTAAAGAAACTACAACCACATGGACCAATCTCGTTAAAAAAAAGTGCAACTACAAGGACACAACTTGTTAGCAAATACAACCCCATGGACACCCTCGTTTTTTTATTAACCTGGATATTCAATCCATTATGCGAGCTGACTAATCCCAGTGTGACCGCCTGCTTTTGCGGATAGCCCGGAGTCACCGCATTTAAACCTCCGTAACCACAAGGGGTTTTTTATTTCTCATTGGATTTTAACCTGGAACATTCAGGCACTTTTGACTTTTGAAGCTCAAGCTTAAACCAATCAGACACCACCCTTGTGGATAATTTTTATAAACAAGGACGAGATCCGTTAAAAAAAACCGAACCATAGGGACCAAAAATGTATTCACTCTAACCGTAATTATATTATATCATATTTTTTCACTAGGGTTGTGGTAGTACATCGTAACTCTAAACCATCATCCATCAATCATAATGAATGGCATAAAAAACATACATAGGAAGATATATCTCGATTTTAATGTTTCGTTTTATTTGTTGTCTTTGTTGATGTTAAATTACGTTTTTATGTGGTTTTGAGAAATCGATAATGTTTTTATTCTTGAATAAAATATAAAATTTAAAAATATATAAAAATATAGTTTTTCTGTGTAATTTTTTAATTCAAGTTCTTATTGTAATTTAATTTAGATTTAATAACGAAGTAATTTATTTTTTGTTTAATAGTATAGTTTTTTTTATAAATATAATATTAATTATTCTGTTAGAACTAAATGACTATTTTAATTATATTTTAGACTTTTTATATTTAAAATGAGAAATTTATCTTGTAATTGATATGGTTATTTGCAGTTATATACACGAATTCAAACACGAAGTTTTAATAAATTGTACTTACGCAAATTTTACTTGCAATTTTGAAATTTAAGTAATATGCATCAATATGCAATATTTCATACATAAAAAATGGGTTATAAGAGTTTTTGTCAAATGTTTTATAATACAATATTGATAAGACAGGTTTGGAATAAATGGTCTTTAAAACTTGTCATCACATTTGACTCTGCCCCTTGGTTTTGCCTAATACCGGGATACATTCCATCATCAGTTTTACACTCGATAAGTTTATGATTCTAGTCGTACACAAAGAGTATTCCATAGCTACGATGAATATCATAACATATCATGCATATTTCGTGCATACAACATGATATCACATATAATATCTCAAGCTCTCAAATTAATTTCGAATTTTTTTTAGATGAGTTTAAGCCTGCATCTTCCTCTACTTGTTTGTAATAATAATTACGTACCAAATGGTCTTTGGTCTAGTGGTATCGTAGTCTCTGGCCTCGTAGGAGGTCAGAGGCTCAAATCTCACTAAAGGTAAGGAGGGTGTACGAGTTTATTTGTCGTATATAAATATTATATACTTAAAAAAACAATAATTACGTACTTTTATACTATTTATCACGCATTTGGTAGACTATAATCAAACTTTAAGCATTCGTTTACAATACACGATTTCTCAAATATCAAGTTTACAACTTAGTAATGCATATACACGACTTCTTAAATCTTTACGATTGAACTGATAAACCAATTGACAAACGCTGTGTTCACGAAACCTTTTTTTACGAAGGATTGCAAAGAAAAAGTAGGGAAGCGAGAAGAAAATAAAAAACTCGTGTTCTCAAATATTTTTAGGAGAAAAAGGAAAAGAAATGAGAAGACAGTGTGACGTTTGGTTCGCCGAGCCAATGGAATATGAAAATGTATCTAGCGAATAAAACAAACAGATTCCGATTCTTTTAGTATATTTCATTATGATTTATGTCAACCAAACACATGGTTAAATCTGATTAAGGGGTTGTGTGGTTGGTTTCCCATTAAGTCTTTTATGAATAAAGTTGTCCGTGTGGATTAATCTGTCTGTATTGAAAATGTTTTTGTTTGGAAGAGTTTTTTTTTATAGATGGAAGAGACGTGTTTTTTAATTGGTGAGACATGTTTGAGAAAAAAAACTTGACTTTTTATACAAAGTCTCTTTAGAAGCTTATTGAATAAGTCACTTTATGTATCATTAAGTCACTACCAAACAATCATGTATAGTTGATCAGATAAGCTATAAGTTCTATTAAGCCCATTAAACTGCTAGCAAACATGCCGTAAATTTCATTTTAATTAATTCGACAGATTCAATTATGCGAACCAAATGCAACCAAAGTTTCCTCCCAAAACTGTAGGGACCTAAAAGGGAAAAAACCAAATCTTGAAGGACCTGTGTTGACAAAAAACTTAGGTTTCAAAAAGAAGAACGCGTACTGTATACTTCGATCTCTCTGTCTCCCCATTACTGCAAGTAGCGAACGAAAATGTCGACGACGGTGAAGAGAGATCTGGAAACCAGATCGCCGGCGACAATGTCTTACCGGAGCAATTCTTCACCACAACCTTCGCTGCCGTTAGTCGTCACTCTCAATTGCATCGAAGACGTGAGTATCGAACAGGAATACCTCGCCGGCGTGGCAAGGGTTGAGCACGTACCTCTGAGCCTACTTGCTGAGGCAAAGATCGAGTCTGCTGCAGCTGTTCTTCTTCACTCGCTTGCTTTCCTACCCCGTGCTGCCCAGCGCCGGCTCCGGCCATGGCAGATCGTTCTATGCTTAGGCTCGTCTGATCGGTCTGTGGACTCTGCTATTGCCGCCGACCTAGGGCTTGGTAGGCTTGTACACGTGGACGTGTCGCGAGCTGAGGAGGTTGCTGATACCGTGATGGCGTTGTTTCTAGGGCTGCTACGACGCACACACTTGCTTTCACGCCACGCGCTTTCGGCTTCTGGTTGGCTCGGATCGGTACAGCCACTTTGCCGTGGAATGCGGCGGTGCCGAGGGCTTGTGCTAGGGATAATTGGCCGGTCTGCTTCTGCCAAGTCTTTGGCTACTCGAAGTTTGGCTTTTAAGATTAGCGTGCTCTATTATGATGTTCATGAGGTATAATTTATTTATAATCAACAAAGGATTCGATTCATCAATCAGTCAATTCTTGGCTATATATACTTCTATAACTGGAATACACTTTGAACTTTTACCAATATAGATGCCCAATTCACTGACCATGTTGGAGTTGTTAAGATCAGTTACAGTGGGTTATGATATAATGTTACCTAATTAAGGTTTAGGTTGCTTAGGTTGAAAGATGTCACTTTAGGTATTTTTAGTAAGCCAATTGAAAATCAGGACACCACATTATTTGGTGGAAGCTGTAGCTGTTCCACTGTAGGTTGGTTATGGGAATTTGTTACTAATTATATCAGGAACATGCGAAATGTAGACTAACAACGGACAAACCTAGTAGGCATTGTTTATTTCTCTCCATCCCATATCAGTGTCCACTGAATCTGTTGGTTTCGAATTACTCTTAAGATGGATGATTTTTGGTTGTGGTAATTGATTAACATAATATAGCTTATTTAGTTTCTGTCGTGTTTGGTACAATTAGCCAATTAGGTGACTTATTTAGCAAATTTGGAGTTCTGAAGGTTGCAGCCGCCCTTTGCATATTGACTTTGATTTGTTTATAGTTTGTTTGATAATTGTTCAACCATATTAAGCAGGATTGAATGATGATTAAACATGATTGAATGAAGTTAAGTTGGAGTAAGAGTTATCTTTCTTACTGTTCTGTTTTGTACTTCCCTTTACGTTGAAGGGTGGTTCACTGTGGAATATAGTTTGTCATTTGAAAATGTAACAGGTTCCATTGCATCAAATGATCAACACCACATCACTACATCCTTCTATATTTACAAATATAGGAACTTCAATTTTGTCACAACTCACAAATACAAAAGAATTGATATTACAATTCAATTGCTTAGGTATCCACTCAAGATGCTATCAAAAGGTCTTAGCTTAGATTTGAATAATTTTGCATCTTTTATTATTCAGCAATGTACAGTATACAGCACTGGAGTTGCAGGGAAATCCCTTGATCTTAGGGATTGAGTAATATACATACATTAGGTTTAAAAAAATATGTTTTTCTTTTTAAGAAAGAATCCCATTTTATTTTCCAACAAAACAAGCATACTACATATAGGGACTGTAGTTTAATTATATGTTGTTATTAGGCCAACGGTCCTACAAATATATATGTCAATAAAAAGCATTTGTGTTTATTTGTTTCATAATATTTGCATACTAAGATATTGAAATAGGCCAACTCATGTTTAACTGAAGGGGACCTTCTTTTGGTTTTTTTTTTTGAGGGGGGGGGGGGGAGTTGCTTTTGGAAGTATCAGGCTTGAATGCCAAATTGTTAAACAGAGGGAGTATCTTTTTATTCTTCAAGCACTTGGAGAAATATTATGCATGTAGAACAGCTCTGTACATTCCATGGGATATCTGTTGCAGTTTTAGTAATGACAAACTATTAAGGTCTTAGATACTTGGTAATAAGAGTTCCTTTAATCAGTTACTCTGTACGTGAAAGATTGCCCCAACCGAGAATGGTCTTTCCTTCTTTCTAAGGTTATGAAACTGGCATTTGTTTTTGTTTCATAAATAAAGTTTCTTCCTCTTTGATATTTATTTTTATATTTCCAGGAAAAAGGCAAAAGACTAAGCAGGTTTCCTCCTGCTGCCAGGAGGATGGACACTCTTAATGATTTATTGGCTGCAAGTGACCTTATTTCACTCCATTGTGCCCTAACAAATGATACTATTCAAATTATAAATGCTGAATGCTTGCAGCATGTCAAGCCAGGTACTTTTTTGGTTGGTTTGTTATCTAGTCTTATATCATGTATAAAGGGATATGAGGATGCCTCTTTTAACCATGCTTATTTTATACAGGGGCGTTTCTGGTAAATACTGGTAGCAGCCAGTTATTGGATGATTGTGCAGTAAAACAGCTTTTGATTGATGGCACAATTGCAGGATGCGCTCTGGATGGAGCCGAAGGGCCTCAATGGATGGAAGCATGGGTAAGATGAATAACCATAGGGTATGAGAAATCACAGAACATGCAACTAAGTGTGTTGTTACATGTGATTGACCAATGTTATTAAGAATGCTTAGTGTTTGAACTTTGCATTCAATTACGCCCTCCGTCCCAAAAAAAGTATCCACATTTCTATTTTTGTTTGTTCCAATAAGTATCCACTTTCAAAAGTATGTGCCTACTTTTCACTTCTATCCATACTTATGCTGTAAAAAATCATTACTTTTTTCGTTATCAAGGTATTGTCATTTAGTTAATTAGAAGTGTAATAATTACACATTTTTAACATTTTTAAAACCTGCGTGCCCTCTTCATTGTGGGCATTTTTTTTGGGACGGAGGGAGTAATATAGATAGAAATACTTTAGTGTTAATACTAGATACTAACTATAAGTTGTCTAATTTCTACACATACCTGGTGTGATTGGTTTGGTTTATTACTTTGGTTTCGAGTGGCATGCCAAGGTATTGATGTGATCTAGTGCTTTCTCTACGAATTACAACAGGAATTAAGATATATTATTCTAGGTTTTCTTTAACTGCAAAGAGAGCCTCTCTTCTTTTGGGTTCCTTTAGTTTGCTTTCAAATTCTAGGTAGTGGTCTATTATTATTGCCATCATGTGTTTGATCTTGTAATTGGTTGTGCTTTGTTTTCATACGTTAACTAAGGTTCTCTTCTGCCTTAATGTTCTAGTTTTTGCCAGACAAAGGAAATATTTGAGCTTCTTTATGCCAGATTAATTGCGGTAGGCTACAAATGAGAAACCATAATAGGGTTGCGAGGAGAAAAAAAATCTACTTGAGCACTTGAGAAATAGCTTGGATGAACATCTCTTCATGTTCTCTTATCTAAGGCCAATTCTTGTTATATATTGATTCTCTTTTTACCACAATTGTGATCTAATATATATCAATGTTTGTGAACCACTAAAAATGGTCTAAGCCTGATTAAGATCGATAACTAAATTTGATTGTTTCTTTAGCAAACTTGGGGGTATTACCTAAAGCTTGGCCAAACATTGGACAAAGGTCTTGTTGCAACTTGCAAGTAGGTACACTGTGTTTGATATGGGAGTGCCTCCATAACTAATGTATGATGAGAGGTCCATTTCATCTATATACCTAAGACTGCCCTTTTAGGAGTGTCCAATCTGTATTGCTGTTGCTTATACATTTCTAACTTCTCAATGTTTAGTGTATCTGTTTTTCTACCATTCTCACACTATGCACTACCTGGGGTCTTCACGGAAACAACCGCTCTACTGTTCAAGGTAGAGGTCAGGTCTGCTTACATCTTACCCTCTCCACACCCCACCTTCAGGTGGGATTTACTGGGTTCGTTTGGTTTGTTTTGGTTTTTTACTGTCCATTTAGATCTTTTGGTCGCTTCTGGCATGCTATGTTGGCTTAAGTTTGAGTTTTAATGGTTCATAATGATGGAACAAAAACACCCTAACTGTAAATCATTGAAATTGAAACTGATTTCTTAGTGTTTTGTATTCTAATTACAAGTAATTTCATTATATTTTATTCTATATTACGGTAATTATTTTGTGCTACTGCCGGAAAAAAATTCGGATCCGCCTCTGTCTAACATGTAGTGGTATCCTTGCAACATAGGTTGGTATTGAGTTTCTGCACCAATGCATGCTCCCATTTCAGTGAAAAATAATGTAATACTCCATCAATCCCAAAGTAAATGTCCAGAATGAAAACGGCACATAGCTTAAAATGTGTAATCATTACACTTTTTAATTGACTAAATGATAATTTTACCCATACTAATAGAGCTAGTAACGAGTTTCTCTACTCATAATTAAGGGTAGAATTGAATTTAGGCACTTATTTTTGAAAGCGGACACTTATTTTGGGACAAATCAAAATAGAAATGCAGACACTTATTTTGGGACCGAGGGAGTATTCAGTTATAATTATTTGGAAGGCAGATATAGTTTCTAATTGATGCTGATTTTCCAAGCATGAACATACTTCAGGTACGCGAGATGCCCAATGTTTTGATACTTCCCCGCAGTGCAGATTATAGTGAAGAAGTGTGGATGGAGATTCGCGAAAAAGCTGTTTCTATTTTGCAGACATTCTTTATGGATGACGTAATTCCAACGGATGCCATTTCTGACAACGACGAAGAGGAAAGTGGAACACTTTACGAAGATGAACAAAGCGATAAGCAAGACAAAGATGGTGCATTGCATAGTTCTACTACTGAACAATTAACCGATGATATTCATGTATCATTCGAGAAATCCATGAAAAACGATATTCCTCAGTCACTCGCGTCTCCCAGCCAAGCTCAAGAATCGATATTATTGCAAAACACTTCTCAATCTGAAGTCAAACGCAGTAGATCAAGTAAAAAAGCTAAAAAAAGGCACGCCCGCCAAAAATCGATGCATAAAGTGGGTGATACTTCTACACCCCACAAAGAAGATGACACTGCCATGAGTGGCACGGACCAAGTGCTGAGTTCTAGTTCACATTTTGCTTCCCCTGATGATTCAAGAAGTAAAAGAACACCGATTGGATCATCAATACACGATTTATCGGCTAAATATCTCAAGTCGAGCTCTGGTATTGGTAAAAAGTCTCTTGAGTTGTTAAAGGATGGATGTGTTATTTCTTTGCAAGCACGAGATCGTGCTGCACTTCATGTCTCTAGGCAGAGAGCTCAAGGCGGTGGATGGTTTTTGGATACAATGTTGAATGTAACAAAAAGAGATCCAGCAGCGCAATTTCTTGTTGTTTTCAGAAGCAAGGTTTGTGGGGCCATTTTGCTGCTGTAACTAGTAATGAGTCGATGCGAGTTGAGTAGTAGGTTATTCGAGCTTGGCTCGAGAAAGTAATATGAGGCTCGAGCTCAACTCGAGCTTTAATACTTTTTTAATGTTCGAGCTCGATGCTGGTTTAACAAATTTGAGTTATACATTATACCTAAAATTCAAGCTTTATAACCTCGTCTATGGGTTCGAACTTGAACTCAAGAACAATTAACTCGTTTATTGGCTCGAGCTCAATAAAATAGTGATAATAATAGTTGAAGTATATAATATTTCATATACAACAAAACTCACACTTTTCTCGCCTTTGGGGAGGCTTGAATCCTTGATGTCCCAAAAGGTTGGGCTCTACCAGTAACCCGGGTATCATTGGGCCAATGACCCTTTGGTAATTTTTATATTTTAATGATCTCTGAGCAAATGAACATATTTGGCTCGAAAAGTGTATGCTTGAATGGCTTGGTTCGACTCAGAAAATTTCGTCGAGCTTTCCAATGAGCCGAGTCGAACATTAGTGTTATGGAGCTCAACTCGTTAAGTTAAGCGAGCTTTATTGTGTTCGAAATGGACTTGATTTCGAGAAACTATTAAGCTGGAGGTCCAGCAGCTTTTTAAAAGCTTGAATCGTTTTGATCTGTAGGTTTCTTCCCAGTTTAACTGTTCTCTTGTTTATTGTGATTTCTGCAGGACACAATTGGCTTAAGATCTTTCACTGCCGGTGGCAAGTTGTTGCAGGTGTGTTTCTACTATAACTTATGTTAATATAATCTGACACAAATAAGGAGTAAGTTGTGTTTCTCCCGGGTTTACTACTCCCTCCGTCCCCAAGTCTATCCCAAAATAAGTGTCCACTTTCAAAAATTGATATAAATATTTTACTAAATTTCTGATTCTACCCTTAATGCTCGAATATTCAACAGTCGATGAGATGGAGAAATTCAATAGTGGGAGGAATATGTTTGAAAAATTTGTTGCGATATTTATTGAGGGGAAGTTATCATTCAGTTAATTAAAAAGTGTAATTAATCTTGCATAAAGATTAATTGTTTCCTGATTTCAGACACTCTTGTTCTTTTTTCCCATTCTCATGTGCTCCGATTTCTTTTAACAAAATTTGTAAGCCTGGGTCTCTACGGTTGCATTTGGTATGCAGGATAGTATGGGACAGGGGAAAACAAAAAATTGTTGTCTCATGTTTGGTGCAACAATTAGACTAGGACTGAACAGGACTAAGTAGGACAAAAATGCTTTTTTCCTGTTCACCAAAATACATGGAACAACAATAAGGGGGATGGGACCAGTTTGGTAAATTACTAAACTACCCATGACAAGTTAAAAACCGAAAACCTTCTACAATTCTTTCACCCTCTGACCTTTTTTCGTCTGTCCAGTCCAGTTAGTTCTACCCAGTCCCGTCTAGAGATGCATAAAAAATCCCAAGCCCGGCCTTGGTCTGGCCTGAAAGGCCGGGCCTAGTGAGCCCAAATCTCGGTCCAGGCCAGGGCTCAAAGCCTGCTCAGGCCAAAATTTTGGTGGCATGCCCGGCTTGAAAAAGCCCGACCTTGAAAAGCATGGTTAAGCTAAGAAATCCCAATTAAGTCTGAAAAATCCTGATCCAACCTTTTTCAACCCCTAAAAAAGCGTGGGTCTTTTTTTTTGCTCACTGAAAACGGGCTTGGAAGTCCCGAGCTCAAGCCTGAAAAAGCGGCCTTCCAAGCCCGTGCCTTATGCAACTCTAGTCCGTCTAGTCCTGTTTAGTCCTGCCTGCATGCGATACCAAGCGCGCGCTTCGGAAACAACCTCTCTACCTCTTGGGGTAGATGAAAGGTCTGCCCCCAACCCAACTTTTGGTTTGGTTTTTGCTATGCAAGGCAAATAGTACTAAATAAAAAAGAGGAGCAATTAAAATCGTCACAAAATTTTTCATATCCCTTGAGTTGGTGCTATTTAAACTCCCATCAGACTTGCTTGGTTGGAAAATAAATGCATGATTAAGGCTTAACAAAATTATGCATGATTAAGGTGTCTGATAGTGAATTTATTGTCACAGTTCCATGATGAAATTACAGCATTAACATAAAGGAACTTATAAATTATCCGAAACTGTAACTTTTTATTTCAACCATGCAGATTAATAGAAGAATGGAATTTGTATTTGCTAGTCATAGTTTTGACGTGTGGGAGAGTTGGACGTTTGAAGGCTCTTTGGAGGAATGCAGACTGGTTAACTGTAGAAATCCGTCTGTAAGTACTTTTCCTTCTATAAGTTTACTACAAATACCATAGCTTGATTTCTTCATGGTCGTTGAGGATTTTAAGAATTTCCTTCACATTATTTTTCCGAAATCACACGTCATTTACTTCGTCTTGTGTGTTCGTTATGTAACGAACATATTCTTTCGAAGTTTTTTCCGGTCTTGGTGGAAACGATTTATGCCCAGTTGCACTAAGAAAGCCTTGATAAAGGGAAGACTAGATAATACCGAGAAGACGAGGGTGCGTGAAAGAATTGTGGAGGGTTTTAGGGTTTTAATATGACATGGGTCCCACAGAAAATAGGAACAAAAATCAAGGAGATGATACAAGATTGGGAAATTAGTGAATTACCCATGTCAAATTAAAACCTTCGACAATAATTTCACCCACCTACCTCACTCTTGCCCAGTCCTGTCCATGTACCAGAAACACCATATGGATGTCCACGTACCAGAAGCACCATATAGATGTCCACGTGGGGTGTAAACTTGCTTAGTCAAAAAAACAATACCAGACTTGAGCTTGCATAACTTTATCAAAGTAGGGCTCGAGCTTGAGCTCGTTTAACAAATTTGAGTTATACATAATACCTATAGTTCAAGCTTTATAAGCTCGTTTGTGGGGTTGACTTGAGATCATTAAGCTGCTAACAAACAAGCCCTAATGCAGATTAAAAAACAGGTAAGGTCTGCATACATCCTACCCTACCCAAACCTACCTCTATGTGAGATATATTGGGTACGTTTGGTTTGGTCCAGATGTAATCTGTGTTTATTTGTCTATTTACATTCTTTTCAATTTACGCTATTTTTTCATAACAACGTTTCAACCTATGCAAACCACAGGCTGTTCTAGATGTACGTGTGGAGATTCTAGCAACCGTAGGAGACGATGATGGTGTAACCCGCTGGCTCGATTGATCCAATCTCTACTAACTTTCAAAAGCCAAGCAGCCGTGTGCACAGGATTTCGTTCGCGCATTCTTTCTCTCGAGGTTTGTACTATTGTTTTCAAATTAATTCGTAAAGCGTTTGGCTTTATATACCTACAAAGTTTTGTGTTCCAGTTGTATGATCCTACCCTAGTGTGCCTATGTATTTCATTCAGGCATTCATTATCTCGAGGTTTGTACTACCATTCATCCAACCCCAGTTCCATACGACTATATTCTACCATTCGTTGTCTCGAGGTTTATGCTACCGTTTATAACCAAATCGTAAAGCATTCTGTATCAGATACCGAGAACTCTTAGAGTTCATATGCTTTGTGGGTTTCTTTCTATAAGTAGGACTAGAGATCCAAAAAAAGCCCAAGCCCGAAGCCTGAACCCTAGGCCCATGCCGACTTTTTTAAGTCCCGGTTAAAGCCCAGCCTGAAAAACCCTGGCTTGAAAAGCCGGACAATGTTCTCACCCAGGAGGCCTGGACTGAAAATTGGCTTAACGAGCCATTAAAGACCACTAAGACCCGTTATACCTCGATTACACATTTTATGGTCTAATCAGATTCATTTTGACCCATTTAGTCCTATTATGACCTAGGACTCGAGGAGACACAGAACCCCTATACCCACTAAGACAAACACTCAAAAAGTCCAGGCCAGATTGGTAGTCTTTCCTAGTCCAGGACTGGTTCGAAAAACCCGAAAAAGCCTGGTCTGGTCCGCTGAGTTTTGGCTTTTGGTGTTGCCCGTTAAGAAAAGAAAAAAACACAAAGGAAGTTAATGGATTTAAAAAAAATGAAAAACCCGGACCGATATTCCAAGCCCGTTTTTAGTAAGCAAAAAGGTTGAATTCCAAGCCCGTGCTTATGAAAAAAGTCTTAGACCAAGGGAACGTTTACCAAATGCTTACTTGGGTAAGCGCTTACCAAGGGGCGAATGAAATCCGATACATAAATCAGTTATAGTACCTTACCAGATGAATCTAATAAGGACCAAAAATACTTATCCGGTAAGAACGAGGCAAGGACTGAGAGTCTTATCCGGTAAGTGAGAGTAAAGACTCTTACCACTGTCAGCTCTTACCGGGTAAATTGTTGTATAGAAAGCCGTTTTTATTGGCTAAAACCTTACCCGGTAAGTAAATAATAGTATTGAATTTTACCAGTAAGTGTTTGGTAAACGATCCTCAAGACAAACCATCAGTCAGGCTTGAAAAAGCCTGGGCCTGTAAACGGGTTTGAAAAAGCCAGATTCTCTCTTTTTTTTGCTTACTAAAAACGGTAGGCATTTGAGTTGTTTAGTTCTTAGCAACACTCATAATTCCATAGACCATGGTTAAAAAAGAAGACATTAATACAAGAGTGGTATCCGATTGGTTTGAGCTTGAGCTCCAAAGGTCAAAAGTGTCTGGACGTCCCAAGTTTGAATCCAAGGAGGAATGGAAACCCCCTTGTGACCATGGAAGTTCAAATACGGTTACTACGGGCTACCCGTTTCATCAGTCGGCTCGCATAGCGGGTTGAATATCCAGGTTAATCAAAAAAGAAAAGAAAAAAGAAGACGTTAACAAATATGCAACAGGCTGACTGTCCAAATTAGGCATGCTAACGATCTATTAACGGTCCAAATTATAGATCGTATACTTTCTCTTCCATAAGATAGAAATTCATCATCTTTTTCAAAACTAACTTGTCAAATTAGACCAAAATTTTGGTTTGTTTTGCGTTTAATAAGCTTTTTAGGCTGTGTTTGGTACATGGACATGACTACATGGAATTAACTGTTTGTATAGTATTTGATAAGACCAATATATCAGATAAAGCAAAACTCCGTCATTCTTACAGAATTACATACATATGAACCATATAGTTTATGCTATACGTAATTTCTATCAATTTGTAAGAGATGTAATGCCACACCTAACGTAAGAATACACAACGATATTTTTACACTGATTAATAGAGATGGTGAACTCAGGTAACCTCGCTCGGGCCTATAATCTATACTATATTATAGAGCATTTGACAAGTAAATTATGCGTAAATATAACTTATTAAAGCTTCATGTAAGAATACACAACGATGTTTTTTATGCATGAAGTACTGTTTATTGATGCATATTACTTAAAATTCAAAATTACAAGTAAATTATGTTTAAGTATAACTTATTAAAGCCTCATGTTTGAATTCATGTAAGTAACTGCAAATAAACATAATTAAATAGAGGATAAACATCTCATTTTAAATATAAAAAATCTAAAATATAATTATGATAGTAATTCATTTCTAACAAAATACTTAATTATTATCGTTATAAAAAATTATCTTATCAAACCAAAAATAAAAAAATTGAATTAAAGAAATACACAAAAAATTGAGAAAATTTAAATAGTTAGTTTGGTACTGATACCAGTATTTTTTTTTCAATTTTTTATGATATCTTCATATTTATATTTATTTAAAAATAAAAACATTATGCTTTCTCAAAACTATATAAAACGTATTATAACATCAACTGAGACAAAAAAGAACAAGAAATAAAACGAAACATTAAAATAGAAGTATATCTCGTTGTATTATGCGAGTACCTGTCAATTACTAATGAGTCCATATTGTGAGTGTGGGTTGGATCGTAACCATGGATGCAAGATATTCCAATGTGGTGTTCTAAGCAAATATTTGATGTTCACATGATGCTTTTTATTTTTTCTCTAGACAACCATCAATCGAAATGTGTCCACATTCAGGCTTTTTGGCTATTCTTCTCAATTACTTCGATGACGATAACGATTTTCTTTTGTGTGTCTGTGGGGAGGGGGCGGGGTCATTGAAGACGTCGAAATCGAAGACTCGACTTTAAAACCAGTGGTTTGAGAACCAAACAAATTGTGATTTGTGAGATGTTTTTTCAATTTAAATTATCTTCAAATGGAAATTTAAAGAACCTTCTATTATAGAATTAGAAACAAAAAGAAAAAAAGGTCAAAAAAGATGAAGAAAAATAGAACTTCCTTGGCCAATGAGAGGAAGAATCATGCGAGAAGATAAACATTTTGTGAGAATACAAGAAGTTTCAATATCATATATGATTAAACTTCTATGTGTTGTCAATAGAACATGTGTTTAATCATACATGATTAAGTTTGTTTACATATCCACGACTCCTGACACAAAGTTCAATCTCGTTGGACTTGAGTTGGCTGAGAAAAGACATACAACCTTGGTAAGAACGTCGGTCTTGAAAACTGGTATAGTTTGCTGTCGAGAGTTCGAATCCCTTATCATGCTTATAATCATATATGATATTGAAACTTCTTGCTTTCTGACAAAATGTTTAGCTTCTTGTTTAAACTTGTCCCTATACCACTACATAAATAAATATATTTTTTGGTTTTCGATTTTTGCATACCATCTATCAATCTACATTTTGACAATCAAGATTTGGATCTGATAATTATCTGCACCAAAAAGTGACCGAATCCAATAAATTTTGTACGTTAACCTAAAAAGGTAGTTTTGCAAACTTTTTACGTTTTTCTTGGAATTTGACTATTTTACCTACGGGATTAGCTCAACTGCCAATAAGACCCGAGCCTTTAAAGATTCTTCTCAAAGATCACCGATTCGAGTCCTGGAAGGGGTAGGGATTTCCTAGCCATTCACCAGGGCCCATGGTTAGTCAAGGTGCACACAAACTAGCCCGAACACTCACGATTAACAAAAAACAGAAATAACAGTCGGACGCTATTAGTCTATCACACCACATCCATACATCCCGAGCGCCTAAAAGTTCCAGATTGACCGTTTAAAGACGACCGTGTATACCGACACATCTTCTGCCTTTACATTTTTGTGATTGTTGAAGATACATGAGTCAAAAGAATCATTAACAAATGCGTATAAAACACAACCAATCAATTAATTTGTAAATGTCATAGATTACAACATAAACGACGAGTACGGTAGCAAGTAGTAGTAAAACATCTTGAGACGCTACACGACCCCATAAAATAAGATCGCCCAATGAAAGCGAAACTAATACAGTAAATTCCATACAGATGTACGTCGGGCTGGAGGTTTTGGGGGGGGGGGATGTAAACTGACCTTACCTCTGCCTCTTCTGTTTAATATCCACTAATGAGCGTATTAAGTCTCTGGGTTTTCGGTTAAAAGCTTCTACAACCGGTTGACCAAAATGAGGATCATCAGGCCCTGATAATGGGGAGGATCCCTACGACATCGATGTTTTTTTTTTGTAAGGGTGTCCGGGCCAAAGCCCGACTAATCCCCGACAAATTTGGAGGCTAAACATGGCCCCACTTAAATGTCGCCAACACTCCCCTCCCAGGGCTTGAACTCGGTTTCATGACTATGCCATGCCCAAGCCTTTACCACTAGGCTGGAAGGTCTTTGACTGACATCGATGTTTTGTTGGGCCGATGAGCGATATGTAATCCTAGGATTAGAACTATGCTTGTGAAGACCCTTGATTTATAAAAGAAACATGCGAGCAAGCTACATGTGAGAGTAAAATAAACATGTGAGAATGTGTGTAAATAGCCCTGACCGACACCTAAAATCCTACAAACTCTTTGTTGCCTGCAAATGGCGTGTGATGAAGACCATTCGGTTCCCACATTGGCTAGACATGATACTTTTAACCTCTATAAATGTTGAAAAGAACAAAACATGTACAACAAAAAACAAGCTCACAAGAACTAAAATCTCATACAACTTTAAAGGATAGAACAATACCTAGTTGAGAGCGTGATCTGGATCGATTGAGAACAACTAAATCCCTAATCACCAATGGACAAGTGTCTACATCCTAGTGGTCAGGGGTAAGGCTGTGTACATCCTACCCCTTCAAGACCCTACTGTCGAATGAGATGTACCGAGTTTGTTTGGTTTAAATGGACAAGTGCGTAACTGTTTCATTATTGAGACATTACCTCGCAATGGCATCCGGATGCCACCAATGTCCGGTTGCCGATGCCCAAAAGAGAATTCAATCCATGCAATCCTTCCGTATCTCGCACAAGAACGGTTCCTTTTATTTAAGATCAACAATGTCACAAGAAAGATTAAACGTATTAGCTCCATTATCTATATCGGAAACTTTTAAATGAAAGAATTCGAGTCTAAGAAAGATCTAATTGAATAATTTACGACCTTGCAATCCGATGCCAAATGAAAACTCCATCTTCATCATCACCATCATTGTCATCCTCGTCGTCTTCTTCCAAGTTTCAGCGCCAATTTCTCTTCTTTCTTGCGTTCTCTGCTTCATCCCATTGTTTATCAATCTGCCATCCCGTTTTATAATCTCCGCGATCATGCAAAAACTTGCACGAATCGCCATATCCACAGTAACCCGTGTTCTTATAGTCTTTACACACATCGGGTTGGTAATCGAACCTAGTTGAAGCCCTAATGTAACCAGAAGGAGCTCTCAATGGTCCATGAACCCCACCTGCTGCTTTAGAACCACCAATCATTTGATCATCTCTCCTAAAACCAGCTACATTACTCTTCTGTTTCCCTTTCAGAGCTTCATCTGCTAACGTAATAACTCTTTCACCGATATTCTCTTCATGATTTCCTTTTCGTTTATTCTTGTTCTTCAAGGGTTTCATGAAGTTGCACACTGTAATGGAATAACAAAAGTTGAAATCGTTTCATCAATCAATCTTATTTACAACTATCAGTTTCAAATTGAAATCGTCGTCAATCAACCTTATTTAAAACGATCAGATTCAAACTAAAATCATGATCAGCAGAGGGTTTCAGAGTATTATTTATTGAAATCAAAATAAACAACATACCTTTTTCGACGTTAGGTTGCTCTTCCTCGGGTTTTTCAGCCATTAGAATTGATCACAATGCAGATAGTTAGGGTTTGAGATTGGATGATCGAAGCTTTCTCGCACTTCACAAATTCACGAAGCGGTGTTCTGATCCGAGTTAGAGAGAAGAGTCAATGACTGAGTTAGGGTTTGGATTTTGACGATGATGAACCCCAGCCACAGCGAACAAGGGAGGGAGGAGGAACGACGGATTACGGCGGTGGAACGACGGCGTAGTGAAGGGTTTAAATCGGTAAGTAACCGACTTAACGAATTTAGAGCATTCTTCTTAAAAAAAAAGAGTCAATTACGTTTTTAGTCCCTGTGGTTTGTAAAAGTTGCATATTTTGTTCCTGTGGTTTCAAAATTTTGGTTTTCATCCCTATAGTTTGTAATTCATTTCTATTTTCGTTCTTGAGGCCAAAACACTACTTTTAAATATAAAGGACTAAAATAGAAACGAATTGTAAATATAAGGATGAAGAAAACAATAAATATTAAATCATAAAAAAGAAAATGATAATGAAGTATAAACTATAGGGATGAAAACTGTAATTTCGAAACCATAAGGACGAAAATAAAAATTTTCAACAAACAATAGGGACTAAAAATATAGTAAGTTACAATATTAGTCCCTATGGTTTGTTAGTAATTTCCATTTACGTTCTTGTGGAAAAGAAATTGTGATTTTCGTTCATATGGTTAATAGTTTATTGTTATTTTCGTCTGTGGACTAATTCCTACTTTTAAGTACAAGGTACCAAAACAGTAAGGGATCATAAGCCACATAGATCAAAACAGTATTAAATTGCAAATTATAAGAACAAAATAACAATGAATTACAAACTATAAAAACGAAAACCGCAATTTCTCAACCACATACTCGGAAATTGCGATTTTTAATTAACCAGAGGAATGAAAAACCTTATTTACTTCAAAAATAATTAGTACTTGTGGTTTGTTGAAGATTGCTATTTTCATCGTTATATTTTTGAAATTACGATTTCGATTTACCTGGTAATCGTGCAATGCAACATATATATCTCGATTTTAATGTTTTATTTTTTATTTTTGTGGTCTCTGCCGATGTTATAATACAAATTTATGTGGTTTTGAGCAAACAATAATATTTTTCTTAATAAAATATAAATTTGAAGATATCATAAAAATATAAAAATTCTCATTCTTTTGTATAATTTCTTTAATTTAATTTTTTTATTATAATTTAATTTAGGTTTAATGACGAAGTAATTTATTTTTGGTGTAATATTATAATTTTTATAAAGAATTTTATAAAAACTTTACATCTTAGGTATCAAAATGAAAGTTTTAAAAGTACGTTTTCCAAAATAGGAATCATATTAAGGTACGTTACTTTTTCATGCAATTTGTCCTATATTTATATATTGGATGGGATATGTTGGGAAATAAGATTTTAACGTAGTCGATTATGAAAAATCGATGTTATTTTTTTGTTAAAAAATAAAATCTCAAATTTATCTTTCATTAAAGTATAAATTACAATTAGTTGTGGTGTTTGATTGGTTTGGGCTTAGGATCCAAAGGCCAAAAGTGCCTGGAGATCCCACGTTCGAATCCAAGGAGGAATAACAATTCCTTTGTGACCATGGAGGTTCAAATGTGGTGACTCCGAACTACCCGTGAAGCGGGTGGTCCCCTTAGAATTAGTCGACTCCCATAACGAGTTGGATATCCAGATTAATAAAAAAATAGTGGTTGAAGATATCTTTCTAATTTCAACATTCGGTAAAAAAAACTTCAAAACAAATATCGGAACTCCTCCTACGGAAGACTTTACAATATGAAGTTTCTTTTTTATAATTTATTTAATTCAAAATTATAGAAGTTTCTTTTTTATAATTTATTTAATTCAAAATTTTATCATAATTTAATATTTTATATAAAAAATGTAACTATTTTAGTTTTAATGATAATATTTAGTGGCGGATGCAGAAAAATATATTGTAGGAGGCATGATATAAAATAAAATAATAATTAACTTCAATTTCATACAAAAATGATAAAAAGTTACCTCTTACAACTGTGTCATACGACTCTTCATCTTTTGAAATTGCGTAATTACATCATCATTTGAAACTGCGAGAAGTGCTTCTTTTTTCTATAGTACATATCATTGCAGCATTCAAAAATTCATCACCGATTTTGTTGCGCAAATCTGACTTCACAATCTTTATAGCAGAAAAACATCTTTCGACTGTTGCAGTAGCAACTGGCAAAACCAAGGCTAACTTCAATAACCGATATACTAGAGGATAAGTTTGATGCTTTTTTGTTTCTACTAACAGTCTAGCGAGCTCGGCAATACCACTCAAATTGGCAAATCTTTCATCATGACGCACAATCAAATAGTACATGTTAAGTTGTTTCTCAAGAGCGATCATTTCCATATGACTAAAATCTTGAGGATACAACTCACTCAACTTCAATAAATCTGATACATTGAATTGCGAAAA